TTTTTTTTTTTTTTTTCTGAGTCAGTAAGGTTGCGGCGTCGTGACCGAAAGTTTTTCCATTCCATGGAAGTGACAGGCTTTCTCCTCGCGCGCACTTGCGAATATAGATTAGTTGTTAATATGACATACCGCCATTTCCTTCCGCTACATTTGGAATTCTTATCGCCTATATTGGAATCACGCGGGAACATAGCGTGGTTATGATGGATTTTGCTGCACCTTATCCATCGGTTTGGGCATTATTCCGAGATGATTCTTAGATTCATATTGCTTGCGATTGAAAGCATAGTCACTCTAATAACAAAGTTTTCCATCTGATGAGATGTTATGCAGTAAAATTTTCTGCACTTGTGCTGCGCAGTTTGACCTCATAGACAGAACATTGCGTCCTATTTTGTTCATACATGTCACGCCGGCCTCTATTCACGGGCATTAAAGCACAAAGGAGGCTCGGCATAGCCACTTTCCCATAATATCGCGGACCCCCCATCCCAACAAATGTATACCATGGAATGGGGCGAGTGTTTGTTTCAAATCTAGCAAAAGTGATCATGCCATAACAAATGTGGTAGCCAAAATGGAGCCTATCGGGTTCTTCAAGTGCCGGGACTTGTTACAATAAAGAATGTAAGATAGCCCCTGATAGAGTTTTAGGTTTATTACCGGGAACTTATGCATGAGCTAAGCTACCATTCACTGGAGTGCCAGATCGAATGGGGAGGAAAAAGGCAGAACATGATGCATAGGATTGCTGCACTCAGTTGTACTAACGAATGTGACTTTCACCTTTTATGGACTTCTCACCCCAGGATCGGAACACACTAGCTGACATAACATGAAAATGAAATGTTATTGGAAACCCAAAGCTTTTTGGTAGATTGCTTTCAGTGTATGATTGCTTTTTTTATTTTATTTTTTTATTGATTTATTTTATATTGTTTGTATTTCATCTTGAGCTAATGGCTGCTGCTTGGTCGCTCTGTCTTAAAAGGCAGTAGAGGGGCATTTACAGGGAAACGGGAGGATAGAGAGGAAGTTGTACAATTTGGGACACCAAAAAAGGAAAGCCAAAGTACGAGATTGGTGGGGGGGGCCATTGGGATGGAGGAAAGAAGATAATGGGGGAAGAGGTATAGTGGTAAATTTACAGCGACGTAAGAGAACGACAGATGAGATTATATGAGTAGTGGTTGAGAGGGGCAAAAAGCGGAATGGCGAATAATTGTTTTTTTAGATGAGAATGCAGTTGTTGGAGGGAGGTTGTCCCTCCTAGCTTGGAAAAGATGATGCGTCTACGTGTATCGCCTGGCCATATATTGCTGTTGGCGCTCAGAGGCCACTCTTTGCCGGGTACGAATGGATTGTCGCTTGTTCTGGAACCAGATTTGAACAGTTCGAGGGCTCATGCCGAGTTGCTTACCAAGTTCAGCTCTAAGCTCAGTAGAGGGGAAAAAGGTTTGTTCGAACACCCGGTTCAAGACATCCAATTGGTAAGCATTGGCTCGTTTTCGTTTGGCTTTTAATATCTGGCTATACCGGATAGCATCAGCGTCGCCAAAAGGTTCACCTCGAAACGGTGGGTCATACTCATAAGGAGATTCTAAAGAAGAACGCTTATTGTGAAACTTGTAATCATTTCCATGATCAAGATCCATGTCCACAATGGAAGGAAGACTCATGGATGATGGAGGTGGCAGTGATAAAGATCGTGTCAATTCAGGACGAAAGGGTAACATGGTGTGTCTGTAGATGCCTGGTGCCGAAGTAGTAGGTTGGAACAGCGCCGGCTCTAGGTATTCTTGGATAGGCGTTCCAGGACTACTAGCGGACTCCGATTGAGGCGAAGGCGGTACAGGTACGTTAGGCAGTTTGAACGGCTGCTCATGTTCATCGGTTGTGCATAGCAAGTTGGCTATATTCAAGGCGTGCCGTCCTTGTGGTCCCTCTTGGTTGAACTCTCTTTTGGTTGACAGACTTTCCATAACTGCTAGCTGTCAATACAAGTAAAAAAATAAATCGGATCGTATTCCAGGTTGAAACACTCAAGAAAAGAAGAAGTAGTGGAAGCTTATAAGAAACAGATCTTTGTCAAATAGTTGAAAAGATGAAAGGCAAAGCGTTAAAGAAAAGCTTGAAGGAAAAGGGAAGAGATTGAAAGAAATGGCATGATGTAGGTTCTTATATACTTTGTGACCAACCCCCAACTATCAAGACATTGGCTGTGAAGAGGGCCCTGATTTTTCCACGCATAAGAGCTTGCCATTGCACGCCCAAACGGTGTCTCACCCCCCCAAAAAAAAAAGTCATAAATAGATGATGGAATAAGAATTTTCGAATCTCAGAAGCTAATAAATGTGTGTCTGTGCCATTCCATGTGCGCTTTGTCCACCTCATGCACCTTGCCGCCGTCTCCCCGCTGTCAGCATATGAAAAGGTTATGTTAATTATTATTAAGGGCATTGTTTCTGGGTCAAAAATTTCCTTTGGAGAACATAAAGCAAAGTAAACCAAACTCAGTCTAATTGCAAGCATGGCATACCTTGAGATAGTTGCCGGTGTGGGTGGGCACATCTAGACGAAACTAAATGCTCAGATGAACACAGACTGTGGATCGTGTGCCACATACCGTCCCTACTAATGAGTAGCAGTAACAGTTCATAAGAATTAGGATCCAAAGATCTCAACACAACAGTTTGCTAGTAGATCGTATTTGAGTGGAAGAATTAGACCCACGCTGAGCCTTCCCCATAAATATGGGATGACTCAAAACCGTTTGCTGAGTAGAGTCACAATGTTTTTCCCAAGAGAGCAATTTTCACGGATGTGGCAACATCTACAGACAAACGCACGAACAAACTTGCGCAATAACTGTACACAGACTCAAGTTTCTTCATTTACCCAACGGCTTCTTCTAACATTCGCAATTCCCGATTTCTTCCCCTGTCTTTCACTTGGTCAGATGAGAGACGCCGGCGTTCAACTGAGATAGAGTCGCATTAACACGCCGTTATCTGAACATGAGAATAATAAAAAGATTTAAGCCCATCACGTTGTACTTTCGGCAAGATGGCAATATGGAAGGGGCCTCGAGCGAAGAGGGCAGATCGATTTGTACTTTACACGGGATAGCGGTTGAGTGCATAGCAACGGGTAAAAGTACACATACCAGCCAACGTGGCAGTCATAGCGACGACCAAAAAAAAAAGAAAAAAAAAGGTAACCAAAAGGCGGGCTCGTATTCTCGTTACACGTCTTTCCCATTAAGATGCATGGTGTCTTTCTACATTTGACCTGTGTCATACCTAGTTGATCTATTTTAATGGCAGCTAAAAGGTGCTGAATGGATGATTTTTTTCCTTTCCTCCGACTTGACCGCTATGCCAAACATCTAAGTTACCTCTAATTTATAAATCACATTGAGTTTGGGTGTCGTCCCCAGAGAACGCCTTTTGAATGCTATGAAACGTACTAAGGACCATCACAACAAATCCAAAAACCATGCAAAGCCAGTGTCTGAGCTTATTTCTGTCCCACAGATTTCCACCAGATAGTTTCAGATAACACGCAGGCGGCAAGATATAGGATAATGCGGTGGCTGAAAACCCTCCAGTCAACTCTAATACGAATCCAAGATTGCATGTTGTAAGGGAGATGAGGAGGGCTGCTCCAACTAGGCCGGTGGTAAGCAGAACATGTCGTTTGACATTGAAATGTTCGTTAGGCCAGAAGAAATGTTCCAGGACCTAGGTAATAAATGAAGCCATCAATTACCAAATTTTCGGTTAGGCACTTTAACATTTTTTGCTTGTAACCCCTCAGTTGCCAGCGGTATTTCTGCCGTTTGGGTAAGAAGGTAAAACGTATGGCAAGAAAAAAAAAAAGGTTTACCTCTCGACACACAAAGGTTTCCAGTGGTACGGTAGTGAACATATTTAGGCCAAAGGCTAAACGTGCAATGTTGATTAAAAGATTGTCTTGAGGGAAATTGTTGAGGATGTTGCCTATTAACAGAACGGTTGAGAACGTGTACAACGAACAAAACGGTGACTACAGTTAGTTCTAATCGTTCTCATTAGGTGGCAGATCACTTGTCGTCGTTTTAAGCCCGTGCTCCCCTTCCCACTTGGGGAGAAAAATATATTACTTACCTGTGGTTTTGTCTGTGAAAACAAGGAACCCCGACAGTCCCAGTGTCATGCATGTAACAAACGACACACCAAGGCTAATATGTGTGACAGTCGCAAATCGATTCATGGACGGTTGCCTTAATGACCCAAATATCAAAAAACTGTTGTGGTGGCATACAAATGCTGGGAAAATAAGGAAATGCAGATTTTTTTTTTTTTTTTTACATTAGCCTGATTGGTGTTTTCTTTCGTTGTTTTTCATGTTCCTCTTCGGGCTATCTCGCCTACTCTGAACATCTATCCATGTTCACACGTAATCTAGCGGATCAGTGCTGCACTTACCGAAACTAATAACACCGATGGCTTGGAATACTTCATTGTTGATGAAATTCAAGGGGTCAATAGGGGCTCCTCTGATTTCGGCGGGCATTTTGGGTCCCTCTATTAAAACCGTGATGATGATCACAAAAATGGCAGAAAGCGCCAACGCGCTTGTTTTCGCAAGCTTGGAGATATCACGGTACATCGACAGTGGCCATGATACTGTCACAGTAAAAAATGTGATGCAAATCCGGCGATTTGAGAATATCCATAGGACGGGTATCTTATCGATGGTCGGAACCAAGGATCTTATAACGTGGGGTATGGTGTCGCCTGCATAAACATAAAAATTATAATGAGTTGAAATTAAAATAGTCTCCAGGGTTCTCATTAAACGTGCCAGCAGCAATACGTACCGATAATTACGCAATAGGCACACATAGCTGAAGAGATGCCGAATATGAAAATTTAAAGTTAAGGCTGAACAATGGCTTATCGAATGATGTTGTACTGGTGTGTCTCCTACCTCCAAATGCAAAAATGAACGAAAAGATAGAAATCGCTATTCTTCCCGGCCGACCGAACGCGAAGTCCATCAAATCGATATAAGTGGTCTGGCTAGCCAATTTGCCGTTGAATATAAGTAGACGCACAGTCCAGTCTATAACCATGCTAAAAATGTAAGCAATCACACTGGATATAATAACTAGTGGGCTCAAATAATACTTGCCAACAACAATCGTTAGACCGATCAGCAGGATCACGCCTGTCCAAAGTCCCTATTCGATCCAGTATCGAGAAGTAAGGTTGATGAGTATATAGTAAATGTAAGCCCAAGCATACCATTTGATCAATAGTTTCCCATTTGCTAGCTTTAATCAATGTAGCCACTTCCTCCAGAAATGACATGATACGTACCGCTTCTTTGAAGGCAAACGGGAGACCTATGATTCCCGCTCCGACAATGCTGTTGGCCATATTGACAAAGCTTTCAAAGATGGAGCCTCCATCTGTGGGTAGCCGTAAAATTGATGGGGATTCGTCAACGGGATCTTGTCTGAGAAGTGCCTCTTCAGGTGCTGATGAGTCGTCAACTTCTAATTCCGCATAGTCACGTTTGGAGCTGTAAATTAACTGTGAATCTTCGCTTTCTTCCAAGCTGTATCTTGGTGTGTGTAAGGTGTCTGCAGCCTCTTCATGATTCTCAGACGTTAATGGCTGATAGCTGGCCATTTAGAAACAAAATTACAGTAAATCGTGAAAATTAAGTAAGAGCTACTTTACGTGGGCCCTCTTACTTCCTCCGACACAATCATCATGGCCCTCTTTATCTGAATTTGGAATACAGTTCAGCGCTACTGTTTATTGAGAATTATTTTGCGCCAATGAAAAAAAATCATTATTACGATACCAGAGCAGAGAGCCTGAAATTTTTTTCTCGCAATCATTAGTAACTGGCAGGAGGAGAACAGATTCAAACAAGTATACTCACAAATAAAATAGTGGATATATTCGTGTTTTTGAAAGGCATTCGTTAGAATTCATTTTTCAAAGCTTGCCATTTTTATGAACGCTTACCAGTTTTGAGGCTGTAAATATCTTAATCATCTTCACTAGGAAGAGAAACCACATTCGTAGTGGCGATATGATGTAGTGGTTGCTGTGCAGGCGGCCTTGCGAAAGCAATTGGACGTTGGTCACCGGCCCAGATAGATTGTGCAATTTG